TCATTCTCCGGCACTCTCCGACACTCTCCAGCACTCTGCGGCAACTCTCCGCCACTCTGCGGCACTCTCTGGCGAGTGTAGCACCGAACGTACACATACTCAACGTCTCGACCAGTAGCTTGGCGCTTGGCTGGTTGGGACGCGCGAAGATTTCTAAGAGCGATCGCACTCACACAGAGTCGCTGTATGAGAGTTCCGTACGTAACACCGACGCGTGCCCCAAAGCTCCGCATCACGTCCACTTCGAGGCAACAATGTACTTAATAGTAGTAGATAAGTAGATAAAGTCAAATGGAGCGTCAAGAGTGTTCTTCCCTTACCATCAAAAGGGAGCAGTGTCGGTAAGCGTAGGTAAGCCACCACAGTCAACTGCCGCATGGTATTACCATCATGAGTACGTGAGCCACCCACGGCGACTGCTAGATGATACCGCCATCGCGAGTGCGCGAGCCCCTATCAGAAATTCGTTGCGCCGCCTTTGGTGTCGAATAACGGTGAAAGCTATCGTACGAATCCAGAGGGCAGCACAGGATGCGATCGAACGATCCTGCCCGTAAGCAATCTACCAACTCATCTCTGCTCTGACATGGATCGCAATAGCGTGCAATCACGTGCAATTGCGTGCAATAGCGTGACCATACCCGTATATGCCCGTGAGCAATGTTGTGACTAGTTCTGTAAATAATTATAAACTATTGTATAAATAACGTTGTATTGTTGATGTATTTATTTACTTTTCCGAAGATCCTAATCTCATCAAACAAATAAAAATGAAACTGGTAATTGATATTAATGATTTTACAGAAAAAATTACTTAACAATTTTGTATTAAACGTATGATTTATAAAAGCACACTTTTCAGATAACTTGCGGAATTTCTATTAAATCATTTAAAGCTAAATTTACTTCTGAGAAATTGAGAACTAATTTACAATGATAATGATTAATATTTTATGTATTCTTCTCTGTTCTATTGAATTTATTCTATATTGACTAATTTATTTAATTCATGTTGAAAGGTATAAGCAGTTTAGAATTGTTGTTAATTGTTATAATTCATCTTGTTTCAGTATTGTTTAAGTAATGAACCAACAAAACCATGCCTCGTTTTGAGTTTCAAAGGAATTACGCTAATGTTAGACTGTGGCTTGAATTTACAATCCATATTGAATTTCATGCCAATGTCGATGGTTCCAAGTGCTAGATTTAATGCCTTACCTACATGGGTACCACGAGATAATAATCAAGACTGGCAAATCGAAGGGGTCTGTTTTATAACCTAGGAGTTATTAATTGATGTCAGAGATGGGCAAATATTTTAGTTGAAAACAAAAATCTTAGTAATTAAATTACACATAGAATTAATAATTTTTCAGAAAATATGTCCATCTCTGTGAGGTATATTCTTTTCCTATCATTAATTTTATAATGTTTCAGGAATTAAAAGAATGCTATGGCAAGGTTTTTGTAGACTCAACACCAGAATTTTCTCCTCCTTTGGAAAGGATTGTGGATTTTTCAGAAATAGATGTCATATTAATTTCAAATTACACCTGTATGCTTGCGTTACCTTTTATAACAGAGGGTACTGGTTTTAAAGGTATAGTTTATGCCACAGAACCCACGTTACAAATAGGACGATTTTTTATGGAAGAATTGGTTGAATTTGTTGAGAGAATACCACGTGCCACAGCTGCAAAACAATGGAAAGAAATGCTGCATATTCTTCCTCCTCCATTATCAGATGCATTGAAACCAAAGTCTTGGAAGTTTCTCTATTCCATGACAGCGGTTAATTCAGCTTTAGCAAACATCCAAACAGTTGGTTACGATCAAAAGTTGGTATGTCATAGACATTGAATCAAGTGTTTTTATTACATAATTTAATTTTTATTAATCAATTTGATTGATCGCTAGGATGTATATGGAGCATTGACAGTTACACCAATAAGTTCAGGATATTGCTTAGGAAGTAGCAATTGGTTAATATCCTGTGATCACGAGAAGGTTGCTTTTGTTGGTGGTTCTTCAACTCTGACGACGCATCCAAGACCTATGGAACAAACTATGCTTAAACACGCAAATATGTTAATCTTGACAGGATTGACGCAAACCCCTACAGCTAATCCTGACACAATGTTGGGAGAACTGTGTATGACAGTGGGTAAGAAACAACTTTATTATTATCTTTATTGCTTTCAGTTATTATTACAAAAATTATTTTCCATAGCAATGACACTTCGTGCTGGAGGATGCGTTTTGATCCCCTGCTACCCTTCGGGTGTTGTGTACGATCTCTTTGAGTGCCTGAGTACACATCTGGACAAGTCTGGTTTCTCGCAAGTTCCACTCTTTTTCATTTCTCCTGTAGCAGAGTCCTCACTGGCTTACTCTAATATTTTAGCTGAATGGTAAAAACCGTTACAATTCTATTGAATATTTTCAGAATTTCTTCAGATACCTGTAAACAGTTGGATCGAGTAAGAATTTTTCTGTAGATGAAATTTCATGGTATATTCATTTTACAAAGGCTATCAACAAGTAAGCAGAACAAAGTTTACCTTCCGGAGGAACCATTTCCCCATGCATTCCTTGTAAAGAATGCTAGATTAAAGCATTTCACTTCAGCCTATGCGGACGGATTCAGCTCTGATTACAAACAGCCTTGTGTAGTTTTTTGTGGTCATCCAAGTCTTCGATTTGGAGATGCTGTCCACTTTGTTCAGCTATGGGGAAATAGTCCTCAGCACACGATTATATTCACAGGTTCGATCATTGATTACTTAGGGATTACTTATTTTTACTGAGTTTTAGCTTTCATGTAATTTTGCAGAACCAGACTTTCCGTACCTGGAAGCTTTAGCACCATTCCAGCCACTTGCTATGAAGGCTGTACACTGTCCGATTGATACATCTTTGAATTTTACACAAGCTAACAAATTGATACGTGACCTTAAACCAGAAAATTTAGCTATACCAGAGTGCTACACTCAGCCACCAGTTACGGCTCCTCATAGAGCCGATCTAGTCATTGAGTCTGTTGGAGTACGTTTCCTTGAGCTGCAGTGCATGTGTGTGTTTCTCCTGTATTTGGGTACGCAATCATTTATATTAATACTAACAATAATTTTTTTTAAAGGAAAAGACACCTATAACTTTTAAACGTGGAGAAGTTGTAAAACTGCCTTTGAGGCGGAAACGGGGTCGCGTCTTTATCGAACCAGGACTAGCAGCGACAATTATTCCTAATGAAATTAAGCCTGGATTGAGCTTGGCATCAGTGACGGGTGAACTAGAAGTCAAAGACAATGTTTATACAATTAAGGTATGTTTGAAAAAATAATGACAACAATTTAGCATGAAGGTATTGAAGTAACTTTTTTTTAAACGCTCATGTCTCTTGAGCTTTAATAATTTTTTTCAGAGTTTGGAAGAAAAACATGTTGCAAAACGAAAACAGCAAATCAATTCGCCAGTGCCGATTAAAGAAGAAGTATTGAAGGAACGAAAACACGAGTATGGGAATTTGGATCCACAAGAATTACTTAGGAAACTTAATCAAGAAGGTATTCAAGGTGCCAAATTGCAGCACAGTCCAACTTCTACCAGTATTCACTTGGTACGTACCATAATTGTAACATAAAGCATACTTAACATGTACGATTGAAGTTTGAGATGTACAATTCTTGTGTTTGGTGTGTGTAAAATAATGTGAAGTTTAATTCAGAACAAGAGCAAATATGTCATGATTTGATTCAATAAGCAAATTTTAATTAAGTTCGAAAAGAGTAAATGAATTGATAACAATAATTGGTTGAACTGTTGGAATTTGAATCGTGTATTTACAATAATGCGAATCGATTATTAATGGTACCATTTTCTTTTTATAAACAGCAAGATGAGGACACCTTGATTCAAATTGGGGACAATTCCACTCACATATTTTGTAATGGTGATCAGAAATTAAGGCGACGTCTGCGAACAATAATAATGCAGAGCTTAAAACGGATCTAATTCATTGATTGATAGGACAAAATTGGAACATTCGTAAAATAATCTGTTATTTTGTAAGATATGCTGGAGTTTTGTACAAATTTTATATTGACCGGACGATCATTGTAATTTCAAAATAAAGGATAAAAAAGTTAATTATATTAAAATAATTTTTATTGACTCACGGGAAATTAAACCCAAGAGTAGCATATTTGAAAATAAACAGACCATTACGTATTTATTTTCTTGTGCGATATTATCGCAAGTATATTAAAATGTTTTCAGGTCGTACAATAAATGGCTATAAGAATACATATAAAATGTATGTGTATACTACAATCGAGAAATATAATTTGTTTAGATTTACATTTACATTCATTAAGTATAACAAATTTTACGCGATGTATATAAATATAAAACTGGTTCCATTGTAAGGACATCGATTGGAAGATCAAAATAAAATTAATAGGTTACTTAACTTTTTTAGGTAACAATTCAAATAATTTGCAATAAACGTTCAAGCATTTAGAAGAATCAAGTTTTATGCTAATGTTTTCCATACATAAAATAATTCAAATAAGTACATCAAAATGAATCATTAACCAAAAAAGTTTCGAACCCAATTTTGGCGCTGAACGAGTCAACATATTCCTTTGATATTCCCTATCAAATAAAAAGTACCTCATATTTAATAACTAAGGTAGTTTTAGCTTACACATTTTGGGCGTACACTTAACCTACTCTACAACCTATCTAGGTAGTATTAAAATACATCAAACACAGTGCATGAAGCACCTGTAACGTAACAAAAATATAAAAATCATCTCCATTATGGTTGGACATTCTTATTCTTGTATTTTTATATACATACATTGCAACGATGATTTCTAAGCGATGGAAAGGTATAAAATATGCCTCACGTTGGGCATCAGGATCAGACAGGTTGGTTTACTTTTAGGTTTAGTACCTATGACCGATTTTCCCTTTATGCACTTCATATGTACATCTCAACAGAATTCTTCGGGCTTTCGCCCGTTAATTGCTACCTATTATCTGTAGGTAGTATCAGAATACTTAATACAGTGCACAATGCAGCCGCAGCGTAAACTCCTACTGCTGCACTCATCGATTGCTGCAATAAAACTTGAGCTATGTATGGCGATATCATGGCACCAGCTCTTGCCATAACACTGCATGCGTCTACTCCAGCACTTCGCAAATGTATTGGATAAACTTCGGGAGTGTAAACATAAGCTGCCTGGAAGACTCCTGCTATCAGACCACGGGCCAGAAAAAGTCCTATTGTCAATGCTGTTCTGCTTAAAGTGCATGCTTTGACTAATGTACACACTATTACAGCAAAAATAATCAGCTGCCACGTCATCGTCTTCTTTCTACCAATTTTTTCGGTAATAATGACAGTGAAAAATATCCCTGGGAATTCGCCCAAAGTTGTCCACAGTAAGTCTATGTAATCACTTCTTCTTAGTTGGCAATCTAAATTGCAGTCGCTTCTTCCAATGCCATTACTGCCACACCGTTCAGCTGTTGTATTGAACAGCTCTGTCGTTATTAAAACTATTCCATAGTAGCAAATAGCACTACAAAACCTGCAACAGTTTTAATTTACAATATGCCATCAAGTCAATTAGTATAAATTTCAGAGAATATCACTTTTTTTTTTCAAATAAAAAATCAAATCAATAAAGACTTATACAATTTCTCTAAATGCAAACAACAAGGGACAAAATTTCTATGTGAAACCACACATGCTTCATAAAAAATCTTACCATATAACCCAAAGGGACGCAGAAGTCCTTCGGACCTCAAGGCTGAATAAGTCTTTCCATCCACCTCTACTAACTGGAAAGGGATGGTCGATTATCAATCGACCAAAAAGCATGGGCTTTTTATTTTCCTTTGCAATTCTTTCCAGAGTGATAAACGCTTTATCAGTGCGGCCAGTCATAACATGAAAGGTGGCAGACTCTGGAAGCCACTGAAAAGAGTATGCTGAGTATTAAAATATTTGTGGATCACAAATCTCATAATTGGAAACTTTAATCGCTAACTGTTTTATATGAGCACACTTACTGGAGTGATTGTAGCGAATATAAGCACAGGCAATGTTGAAATGGCGAGCAGCCAACGCCATCCATAACTCGGCATGACTATTAATGCTAATACTACCTCGAGGGAGGCTCCAAGAGCCCAGAAACACTACAAAAAACAAGGCAAAGATTATATCTTTCAAATATGAAGTGTATAAGATTTTTTTATTTTACGCTAATATACTCACATCTAGCAGTATTACACATTTTGACTTTTGTTTAGTAGGAAGAAACTCTGCAAACAATGTTACCCTGTAACATAGAAAACATGTTAATTATGTATATAATCTAATTTGAGAAAAACTATTTATTTCATTAATAATTAAAAAGTGAAATAGGAATAAAACATATGAAGGTTATTTCTTACGATTGTGGGGCACAGCCAATGGCAAACCCAACGAGTCCTCGGAGCAATAGTATCCAAAGAAAACTTGGTGAAAATGAGCTAAGAAATCCATAATAGAAGAGTAGTATTGCACATATTGTTAACGACTTCTTGCGGCCATATCTGTCACTTAAGATACCCCAAAATGTCGCACTTAACATCATACTCATAAAAACGATCTGAAACACCGAAAAACAATAAGGAGATATAGTTATTAGTAGTGAAAATAAAATGACTGCTTATTATGTACCAGATTATCTCGTACCATTATAGTTAAAGCTTGTTCAGCCTTACTAATGCCCCAATCGCAACGTAATGTTGAGCTAAGAATACTTAGTATTGTTATTTCCATGCTATCTGCCATCCAACAGAGTCCTGTCGATAATAGTAGTTTTACTTGAAACTTCCCAAAACCTAATGCATTTACTGCTTGTCCAACGGTGAAAGTGTCTATAAAAAGTTACAGCATTAAATTTATTATTAATGAAAATAAATTACTTAAAAATAATTCAGATATATAGTAAGGTATGTAAGTTAAGTTTTAAATTACCATCAGGAATGGCAGGAACCGAAATAAGTTCCATGGGTCGGTCGTAGTTGATGCTACACGTAGTAGCACTTCCGTCACGTTGCATTTTGAAGAATATTTTGGAAGCTCAGGTCTCCTTTGTATACTTTGAAAGCTAGAAAAGTACTTCTAAAAAATACTTATTAAAGGCTTTAAACCACTACTAACAGCATTATAGGAAAAACTTGATTGACCCTTGTTACCAAGTAAACTAAATAGTAAAAAAGAGAGCAATCCTTGGTGACCATATTTATAAACAGATAGAATTAGTGACCCACTTCTGTAATTAACAGTTGCGCATTTAATAATATATCAACATTTCTTTGCAGATGACACAAACTCGAATTCAAATGTTGCTGTCAGAATAGGTCACACATTCCTTACGTTCTTTAATACATCACTTCCCTCGTTTACACCTGTGCTATAGGGATGACCCTTCCTTTATTAGAGTGGTGTAACCAGGTGTAACGTTTGCACCTTAGCGCCATCTTTGCTTGGAGAAACTTCTTTTCCCGAATTAAACTGTTTAGCGGGCTATTCAAATGCTCTTATTACATTGTTTAAAGATGTATGAAGTACTTCAAATGTTTAGAAATATACGTAGCTTTTAATGTCACGCACATATTAAGTATCAGATTTGCGTGCATCTTAAGTTTGGTCTTTGAGAGACCCTAAAGAAAATAATTAAATTAGCAGGAAAGGGATGGAGCGTCCTCTTCTCCCTATCTTCGTCACAGATATGCTTATAGAATCGGGTTTGTAAAGGACAGTGCATCACTATTCTCCGTTTATCTCAGTTGCTCTCAATTACGAGATAGCATGGACGAATAGCTGTGCTAAGTGTGCCAGTGTTGGTACATTTCAGTAGTGTAAATATAAATGTACATACGTCGTATCGTGACTTTTAGTAGATGACTAAAGTTAAGCGAAATTGGGTGCGGCTAATACTTGAATGCACTTGGATAGTTGCGATGGTTGAATGGATTGTCTGACAGGAACATCGTCAGTGGGTTGTAGCATCAGCTTTCCATATCCCTAATGCTGGCCTCCAGTCCCTCCAGTTGTGAAAAGGAGAAAAATTTGCGAAACAAGTCAGCCATGAAAACGTAACTCCTCTCCAATTCTAGATAAAGACCAACTCATCTGTTTTAAGTCGAAACAACCCTAGTGTTGGATCCAAAGTATTGAGCCGAAATATGTCTCAAATACAGAGATAGATATAAATGTAAATACATACTGAGCTCCGATGTGGTTAATTAAAGTGAAGGTAACTTGATTCAAAGGTGGATTATACAAGGAGCCCTTTATGAATTTATGTTAACAGCACTGCAATTGTGTAGTTAATGGTAAGCTTATATCAATAAGCTATAAAATTCAGAAGATTTAAGATACCAACATATTTGAGGCGGAGATTTATATTCTGTATTTTGAATGGTCTGATTGACATCAATAATAATAAATTTAGTAAGGTTCAATTAAGCCAACAAAATGAGGAGAAAAGCAGGAGTAGGAGCGATTCACAAACAGAAACTTGAACAAGAGAAGTACAAGGACAAGGGAACAGAAATTCAAGAAAATCAATTCGAGCAGATGACAAAACATATGGAGACATTCAGAATTAATTTAGAAGAATTTGCATCGAAACATAAATCTGAAATTAAGAAAAACGCTCAGTTCCGTCGACAATTCACTGAAATGTGTGCATCAATCGGGGTAGATCCCCTTGCATCTGGCAAAGGTTTCTGGTCGGTTCTTGGGATTGGCGACTTCTATTATGAACTTAGCGTACAAATTGTTGAAGTATGTTTAGCTACTAATTATAAGAACGGAGGCCTGATTTCTTTGGATGAATTAAGAAATAGATTAGTACAAGCTAGAGGTCGTCGTAAGGAGCACCAAGAAATAACAAATGAAGATCTCTTAGCTGCAGCAAAAAAGCTTAGGATCTTTGGAAATGGCTTTTCTGTCGTTTCAGTTGGTAGAGGGAAACACCTAGTCCAGTCGATTCCTGGGGAATTGAGTATGGATCATACCGCTGTGTTACAGCAAGCCAGTTTATCTGGAAATGCTCACGTTTCTCAATCGATATTAGAAAACGAATTACACTGGGAGAGTGAAAGGGCCCGGAAAGCTCTCGATCATATGGTAAAAGAAGGTTTAGCATGGATAGACAAGCAAGCACAGGAAGAATCCTTGTATTGGTTTCCAAGCATGTTTGCAGCTTGCATTGTATCCAATTCATAACATTCATGTTCAATGTTCATGAAAAGACTGAGGAATGAAGGTTATGTCACAAATACTCTGCATTGTGGTGCTTGATACCAAAATGTATTTTCAAAATAAATAAATGTTTTTTTGTTAATATATTTACAGGCTTTTCTAGATGTGACATTAGTATACTATATTGTCACCTGGTCCCATCTCCTTGATCATACCTAAAAAATTAAAATTATGAGAACAATAGGAGCTAAAGTGAGTAGTGCCATATATAGTTCATCTTCTGACATACCTATGAATAGCTTTAACTCTACATTGTGTAAGTTGGTATCGACATGCCAGCAATTCTTTGTTTAATTCCTCATTTTCTTTCCTTAGAGCATTAATTTTTCTTCTCAATTCTTTTGATTTCATTTGAAAGCTACTTGTAAGTGACTTTGCTTCTGCCTTCCATCTAGAAAAAAATGTCCCATGATATCATTGGATTCTTAACAAATATTTTTCTATCATGATATTTAATAATATTAATAACAGAAATCATTTGCACTTTTGACTTAGTTTTTGGTGAATTTCAACATGCTGAGATAACTCTTTTGTCTTTTTGTCGAACTTATCCTGTACTATTCGTAATTGTTCCATTAATTCCATTTTATAACATGGGCCTTCATTTCTGATTCTGCAAGCAAATTTGTCATTTAAATGTAATGCTTAACTTTGAAATGATTTATAATATAGAATGATTAGAATCACAATGAGAATAGTCATGCCTCTATTTTTTTCTGTGGTCTATCTAAAATTTATTTGCTACAATTTAATCATATCTGATAAGGATAACATTTTACCTTTATTAAAACTTTGTAAGAAGGAAACAAGGTGCATGTTACTTACGTTTTATCTGTGCAATGTTTTTTTCTCATTTCATATTCAAGATGATTTATTTGATCAGCCAACATACTGCCACGTGCATTTGTCTGGTCGACAGAGTCAGTAGCTTTGCGTAAATCTTCTTGCAGTTGACGCACTCTATTATCTAGTAACCATCTCTCATGGTCTCTTCTTTCAATATCTCTTTCAAATGTTGATTGTAAGGATCGGAGTTCCATGGTAATCTTTTCCTTTTCATCTAAAGCTCTAGATAAGCGCCTTTCTAAATTGCTATATCTTTCCACAGCTTCTTTAGTTCGTTCATCAGCTTCCCTCACTCGTTCTTCTACTTCTCTGGCAGTTTGCATTTGAATACGCTTTATTCGATCATCTGATGTAACTAATTTTGATTCTAAATCAGCTATCTGTTGTTCTAACTGCTTTGTTTGTTCTTTGTATTTTTTGCAATCTGCTATATTACAAACTTCTAATTTGCTATCAGCATCTTTAAGCTTTTGTTCTAGGTCCAAGATTTTAGTATTAGATCTACGCAATAAATCATCTGAATTGTGCCGCATCTTTTCGAGTTCTTCTTCCATCAAGCGACTCTCTCTCTGTGCACGTTCTAATAACATAACGTTTTCTTTCAATCCTAATTTTAATTCTTTGTTTTCTAGTAAGCATTTTTTCATATTTCTATCAAAGTCCTGCTTCACACGAGACACCTCTTTTGCCAGATTAGCATTATATTCTTCTGTTATGGTGAATAGCTGCCTTTCGATTCTCAACTTTTCATCCAAAGTACGAGCTTCTCTTTGCAGAGCTGAATCCTTCTCCTTAACTGCCGTTTCTACAAGTTCAATAGCCTCGGACACTTTATTTTTTGCTTCGCTATCTTTTGCTACAGCAGTAACAACAAACTTTCGTGCATCTTCCAATTTTTGTTCTAGTTCAATGCGCAATTGTGTTGCCTGTTGTAGTTGTGGTTTTATGATACCTAATTCAGTCTTCAGTGCAATTATTGTCTCTTCATTGGAGTGTTCTTTTTTCATTACCTCTTGTCGAAACATATCAAATTTTACAGCTAAGTCTTGCTTTTCTTTTTGTAGTGTTTCAAATTTCTGTTTATTTTCACTCCAATTTGATTGATGCTTGATAAAATTTTCTTTGGTTTGTACAAGTTTTTCTTCCAGTGCTTTGATTGCTTCTGAATAGGCTTCTTTGATATTTTTCACTTGTTCCTCGTATGTTCTTATATCCTTGCCATTCTTTTTAAACGTTTTTAGTTCTGTGTCCAAAACATCTACTGCTCTAAGAGACATTTGCCATAATTGATTAGTCGTATCTTTTTCCATTTGTAGGATAGCTACACGTTTTTGAAGGTTCAAGATCATTTCCTTGTCATCTGAACGACCATCGCAATTGTCTAGACCGCTGTGAGAGAGGCATTCTCGCACGACTTGTCCTACATTTTTACTATCATTTTGAAGACTTTCAAGCTGACTACGAAGATTCGTCTGTTCTAACTGTGTAGTAAAATATATACAAGTCAAAATAATTATTATTAGTAGAATAAATGCAGTAATAAATAATTGTTTTCATATCGATAAATGCTTGATCATTTTTATGCTTACTTTACAGTTTATTAATTCTTGTTTAAGACGCTCCACGGTTTCAGCATATTCCTGAAGTATTGTACTGTGTTCGCCAGCACTACGATTATTATAGAAAAATATAGTTTATTAAAGTAATGATCAGCGTTGAAAGGCATATAACCTCAAACTTACCCGTGTTTAGACATTCTTTCGCCTTCCGATTTCATCAGTCTTTCATTTAGCATTATTTGCATAGAAGAGAAATGTCCTAGATTTGAGTAAAATTCAAATCATCTTCAAATAAAAAATAACCTTAAAATTCTGCAGAAAATTGTACATGCATACATTCGAACAAATTTTGATGTAAACAATGTATAATTAACAGTTTCTTCATTATCGATCGTTTTCCTTGAACCGTGAACTTGACCGAAAGTAGAGCCATATTCCAAAAGATTGCGCCACATATACTGACATGACAAATTATTATCTAACATCGATAAGCAGAGAAATTTAATTAATTATTATATTACGCTTAATTCAATTCTTCGAAATTTCTTAATATTTTTAAAACAAATTAGAATTCACGATAAATAACAATATACATAATTTTTATGAAATCTTCGAACCCGAAAAATTCGATGTAATCGAATAAAACTTCTCTTACGTGACTATCTTTAAAATTCATCTTTACTAGCGGTATTAGTTTTTTCCTCCATGAATACAATTATTCACCGTCAGATTTTCACTTGCAGATCCGACCGCAAATCGAATTTTCTTACAAAAAGTAATGAACAACAAAATCAGTTAGTCCCTACTAAGTATGCGGTAAATGACTATTGCAGCCGACACCGCAAATATTAATGAAAAAAAAAAATCGAACGAAGAAACATTAGGAAAGGAACGTCATTATATCAGTATACGTTTGGAGTTACATAAATTATTTTGTATGTCTCAATACATTATGCGAGCATTTCGACAGCATCCGAGAACAATGAAGAAAACGATCATCCCCAGGAACATTTTTTTATTCAAGACATGCATATATAAAAATGATGCACATAAAAGCTGTAAGCACCGTGCCACACACTCGTCTCGGCAAGTTTAAAATAAAAATGATACTACCAGTGCAGTTGTCATTATTTTTTAGATTTCGCTTCTACAAAATGAAGTCTCCCAGATCAATCCGTAAATCCTAACGGGTGCCCTTGTTGAATTGTTCGAAGAAAGCCGCGGTAGGCTTATTCTTGTAAACGAACCGATTTAAGTACTCCTGCTGGGACTTTTGTTGCTGCGCCAGCATCAGGTTCTCTTCGGCTATTTGTTTCTGCAACAACCTGACAAAGAAGTTATATTTATGGAAAATAATAAGAACAAATAGCCATTGCAACTAATTTTGCTGCTCGGTCGACAATCATTTACGATTATGTATCATGTTCTCCGGGTACGCTGAAGCAATTCAAAGAAATTTCTACAAAATAAGGCAAGAATTAAAAACAAATTAATAACAATTTTCAAGCACATGTATATGCTGTAAAGTAGGAAAATCTAACTTACGCCCGTCTTCGATCCAATTCTTGCTGGTAGATCTGGGCACTCTGAGCATTGCTCGACATCTGCCTGTTCCACTCTTCGTTTCTCCTCTTCTCCTCAGCTTTCATTTTCTACAGAAGAAGAGGAACGTCGCTTAAAGCGTGGATGACTTTTAGCCGATAGATAATTATGGAAAGCTCACTTGAATTTCCGTCATCTGACGAGCTTGTTCGTCTCGGTATGCTTTGAGTTGTTCGGAGGTCATACCCTTGTACCTCGAAGCGAGTGGCTTATCCGGACCGCGATTACTGTCCGCTTGACCCTTTGCTTCGGTCAGGAAGTCGCCGGTCACGTGGTTGTAAATTTCTGCCCTTTTGTCCTCCTCGTCTTGGGCAGCCTCGCACTTTCTTCTTTGTTCTTGTTCTTCTGCCTGCACAAAGGTCAAAATTACTTCTAAGAAATGTCGAGACTCTTGGACTAAGCGTTTCGACAAGGTATGAATAACGTGGAACCAAGTTGTAGGAAAGTTTGGTAAGAATTAAATAATTTTCCGATAATATTTAAAATCGGCAAGACTGTATTTAAAATGTTCTCATGAAGGGCCACTGACGAGGGCTCGGTTGAATCTCGCAGTGGCCTCGTTGAGTCTCCGACGACAATCCTGTTCCATTTTTTCTAAAGTCATCGATCGTCTGTCTCTGGACAGAATGGCGTCCTGGTGGGCCCTCTCGGCGTTGTGACGTTCCCTTTCCGCGGCGCGGCGCTCCGCGATTTGTTGTGCGATCCAGGCTTGCATTTGTTCCTTCTGAGCTTTCGTGCGCTCCGCCAAGTTTACGTCTTCTCCCATAAATCTATAAAAAAGAGAACTCAGAAACATTTACATCTATCGTTTAATAAAATATGCTCCAAGGTGACTTATTGGTGAAAATCACCACATGATTTAGTTCATTATGATAAATAGCTATTTATGGCAAAGGCTGATCAAGAGCAGATGATGACGGAGGCAGAACGGCAGGGTAACAATTTCATTGTTAACTTAATGATTGTTTAATCAAATTAGTAAGAGATTAAGGTATGCACCTTTGAGCGGAAGCCAATCCTAAATGTGGATTCTGGTTATTCGAACTTGCAGGCACTGACTTTTTCAAATTATTAGGATCGTAAAGGTCGAAGTCCCGACGATTTTCGGGACGCTGGTAAACTTGTCGGAAGGTGTTGATCTCCTTTTGTATTTTTCTCCTCTCCTGAAAGAGAGAAAAAGGGACCAGAAACGAGATAAATAAAATTTAATCCCAGTACGTACGAATAAATTTGGGGATATTTCTTAACCTCTTCTTGCTGCTTCTCCAACATTATGGCGACCTTGCTGCTGCAAACTAAAGCTTGGTCCAACTGAGACTCTCGCTCCTTTTCTGCGAGACGTTGTCGGTTCTTTTCCTCGATCTGTTTATCAAGGAATTCTTTGTCGACCTGGGAATGCACGAAGAATGAAAATTAAATAACAACGGTAGTCTGGAATCGCATATAAATGACGGTAAACTCTGCTTACAATATTAATTGTCGATATCTACACGTAAGTGTACGAGAAAGATAGGATTTAAGCATTCGTTGAACAAACAATGCTTAACACTTGTCTGCAAAAACTTAAAAAGTAGAAATTAAGAATGCTTTTCGAAATTGATATGTCTATCTATCATGCGTTTATAAATTCTCGGATGAATAACGGTAATCAAGGTATGGGTCGGGAGGTATCGTTTGATGCCGCATTATTACTTTCGACACGCTTATCTGCAGCGCCTAATCATTTCTTGTCGATTCAACAGAGTCGAGTCACGCGATGGCGAAGTGACGTCCTCGCCAGTTTGAAAAGTGTACCCGTAATTACTACCCATAAATTCAGAATACCCATAAATTATTACATCACCGTGCTCTGTAAAAACGCCGCAGTGGCAAGTTCCATGATCCAAAAATCTGACATTTCTTTGTCCAGTATATAAAAAAAATTTCATTTTATTATCCTTTCCCTAGTGCCATTGGGCGTGTGTTCTACAATTTAAGAAGGTAATCTACCTTCAATACCCTTACAATACATTTACATAAACCAAACTAAAAAGATATAAAAATTTAAATAAAAGCTACTTAACCTCCATGCCTTATTTAATCTTCACTTCGTTCATTGTCATCTGAGTTACTTGACCCATGGTAACAAAATATAAAGTTTACACTACCACCGGAAATTTCTTTACATAATCAATATTTAGGTAATTAAAATCACACGCAAAGCAGCATGAAAGAAGTACACGAGAAAGAAAATTCTTGTCGGGTTCAAAATGAACTCGAAGAAGGCATGAAGGTTAAAGCACCGGAACTGCGTATGTTACTGCTTGGAAAAAGTGCAATTTTGATTCTCATTGGTAATCTGGATAAACGTTCTGAATAATAGTTCGTTTTCTTTTTTATAGGGAAACTCGGTGAATTCTTACCCCGATACGACGAGTACGAGGATTGAAGATTCTCGGTTTCCTGGCCTCTTCGATTTGTCTCCTGCGCTCTATGCATGCTGCGACCTTGAGGTCCTCGGGTGTATTTAACTGGAACTTGAGCATCCTGTCGAGCGAGAAAACCCGGACGTGTGAGGTTGGATCTCGGTTTTGTCACGTCTAATCGGTTCTGATAAGATTGTGGACAGATCCGAAACACAATGTGAGCACGACACCACCGCGAACTGTGACTGTTTCGGGTGCGATTGTAACCACCTCGAAGTGTTCTCGAGCTGGCGACGAAATGGCAATTTGGGGTGAAATTCGTTGCCATGGAAAGTTTGTTCTGGGCGTGTAGATACACCCCCATATTGGAGTTGCCTGCACAGAACAGTTGGTCAATTTAAATATGCTTTTGCGAAAAATGTATTTCATTCCGCATTACGTACTTTATACCCCAGAAATTCGAAATATTACACGTTTAACGCAGAGGTTCAAAAAATATGATAATAATACGTATTGCTGAACGTTTTCAAACTCTGATGATGACATACAAATCGAGTGATGTAATCTTTGCTAGGAGACCAAATTTGTATAAATTAAACGTGGTCAGTTCAGATTTCATGATTCAATTGTTAGAAACGAATAATTTTGGAAAGGTAGCGATATTGAGACGTATTTTAGAACGTTTTGTTGTGAAAACGTACAATAAGTCGGCAGAGTTGTAATTTGTTGACAGACTTATGTACGAGATATTAATAATAACGAATTAAACGTTCATATAGAATTCATGTTTTGTGAGTTTTTCTTAAATGATCCTAAATCACATTCATATATACCAGAACGAACCTAGTGTTATGTGATAATCTAAGATAATATTACGTAAAAAGCACAGAAACCAAAAAACACATTTTTTAAACGAATGACGAAAACTGCTTTATGGCAGTAGAATATTGATATTGACCCTCTTTACACCGAGTCGAAATATCTGGATATTCCCGATATACCGATAAGAAGAGCACCAAACCTCTATTTACTCAGTTTTATCAGAAACCGATGAAGGCTTTAATCCCATGACGGTAAGAAACTATTTTAATTTCCTGGAAATTCTGCAGTTTTTACATTTTTCCCGCGAACTGTAAGTAATTCAAGGTTCTCGATGAATAATTGAACAGTTAAACGAAATATAAAGGGCCGAATAAATAGAAAGGGGTGATCCTTATAAGCGTCAGAATTTCAAATTGAAATCTGGATTATTCGGACCTAAGAGATATGGATTTGAAATCTAGATTGCTTAAGCTTCGAGTATTTTAATTTCAAAAAACATCGAAATTTTTATTTAATCCGAAACTTTAATTCACAGACGAGGTCGGTTCAAGTCGCAGTCGATTTCTCGTATCAGATGTTATCGCGACCCTTTATGAATTCCAATTCCGGGTAGATCGTTTTTCGATATTCTTGACAGGATCGCGTTTTAGTCCGACGTAACTTCCATGTAATTCCTGGCTTACAGCATCGAGAGAAACGCCGTTTGAGTTTTGCGTGACCTTGTTGATTTCCGCGGATCGCGTTTCTCCCGCACTCGATTGTCGAGACTCTGGGTGCAAACGCGTCGGTCACCTTTTTTTCCCTCAGTTAAAGGATAAAAACGACAATGAAATTATTTCCCTGATAACTTCCCCTCCAATACATACAGTATACAATTTTCGAATTCTTAACACAACTGAGCGTAAATATAAGTTGAGTACTTCTTTTCCTAACTTATTGGATTGGATCTATTAATAAACGATTAATCCGTTCTCCGAAGTCCCGCGGGGCTGTCGATCTCGATGAGCGGCTCTCCGGATCCCCATGCAAGAGTCGGAGGCCTTGCGCCCGATGAATGACCGGTCTTCGATCGGATCAACAGTAGCGATCGGCAGTGATATTGAGTGGAACCAACTGCAACGTTCGCGGCCGCGACGATCCGTCCGCCCGGCTCGGTGGCCGCGCCGGAGTGTCTCGCGCGGCGGCGTGCGCGTGCGTGGCGACCTGACGTCACTGGCGAACGAGGCGAGCGGAGCGGCCAGGCACCGACCAGACAGTCAGTCTCGGCGCGACGCTGCAAGAGGTTACACCTGTGCGCACGGCTTAAGTAGGGTCGAACGCGAACGAGGAAGAGAGCGTAGCGTTTACCTGGTTTGGCCATCTCGAGGCAAGCGCATTTTCAATTGGCGCAGTGATACTAGGATTGGGATGATCGGGTGACTACGTTAGGCTTGAACCAACAGGAACACCGTTGCCTCTTTTTCGGTAAATTCGAGTGGAGCGCTTGGCGCGAGGGAATCGACCAATCGCAGTCGCCTCCACACGGCGACTGGACCCAACCGGTGGAGCAGCCCCCGTGGAGAGCTTCTCCACGGACCGAGGGATTTCGGAAGGGCGCGCGCGGCCTACGGCAGCGACGCGAACGGTCGCGGCCGAAACCAACTTTCTGGTGAGCGGCTTCGCTCCCGAAGCCCTATATATAACGGCTCCTGCCGTCGCATGTGTTAATTGGTGCGGAAGGGAGATTTTATCCCCCAGAATTCAGACTCGGACTTTCGCCAGCGAGGACATTGGATCCTTTATTATGTATAATATATCTTCTCAATATTAACCAAACGTTTGGTGTCGCAATCGAAGTTTATCGGCGCGTTTGGAGGTGTTACCTCCTACATCGACACCGTTAAGGACATTTTAGGGTACGTGTTGCTCTGTGAGATTTTTATTCGATCATCGATACCGAAACTTTTCCGACGCACTTTTTCCCCATACTCTGGGGGCTGTACCGGAAGGTTCGCGGGACTTTGCCTTCGCGGGTGGCGCATGCGCGCTCGCGCAGACACACGGCGGTTTCGCGCGTAGGTGGCAGTGGCTGCAGTGTACTATGAGAGGATGAGTTGCTCCGTGAAGATCTCAGCCGGGAAGGGCTGGAGCGGGTCGCAGCGGAGAATCAACTCCCTGGCGGAGGAGGGCGCATCGCAAGCGTCCGTCCCCGCGGCCCCCGCAGCCCCCAGGGCGCCGCCCCGTCCCGTCAAGGCTAACCAGGCGAAGAAGGGCGAGGACACCGCCAAGCTCTTCAAATACGTTGACGACAACGTCGTCGGCAAGAATGGTACCTTCTTTGGACCCTTCGGCCGCAGGAAAGGTCAGTATGCCTTGATAAATGAATAGGGCTTACAAAATGCTTCATCTGGAATTTTATGGTGCATACTGTACCCGCGGGCAAATATTTCGTTTCGCAATACAATTTTTGTCGGGTCGATCATTGAACATGGTGAATCTATGGACACCAAATATTTGGTTGACATGATAAAATTTGTTGTTTAACTGCTTTTGGTTGATTACATCAAATGCGGTAGGATCATGCGAAATCTTGAAGAAATTGGTACTTTTAACCAAAATATTTGGTTTTTTAGCTAACATATGTTTTAAAGTTAACAAAACGATTCTATTAAAGTGCCGCTCCGGTTGAGTGAAATGAACTATATAGAGTTAGTTAAACGATGTTGTCTAGTGAATCAATTCTTCCTGCGTGTATCTGATTTATGTACGAGTACGGGATTTAAATCCACGAGACCTCCCTCTGACGAATTTTCATGTTAATTACAGGATCAATAACTGTTAGTTCCATGAATAAAATATCCTTTTTGAGGGTTTTAGCGATACCAAGAACATCGGTTTGGCCACTACCAGTGGCCAAACAACTGAACGCACTCAAATTGCCCTCGAGGTATTCTTAACGCAACTTAAATCCACCGACCATTTGCGCGTCAGTGCCCGACCCCTGATATCATCGACCAATTTGTAATTCAATGCAGTCCGTTGGAAGCTCGACCTGCGCGACCTCTTCGGAAGCTTTGCTGCCAAGTTTTCGCAACGGGCCCTGTGGACGGCGAGGTCGCTCATGAGGAGAGAATTCCGCAGCGCTCGCGGCCGAGACGAGAGGAGACGAGATCGAAGTCGAGATTCGCGTTTCCTGTCTAGAAAGGCAACGAGAACGTTGAATACGGTTATAGTAGTTTGCGGTGAATCGCAAGGAAAATATACATATTTTCTATACTTCCTTACGATACCATATTTTTTTAATATCAGTGACGACTTTTAGGTGTTATACATTTTTTCAAGACTAAGTCCTGGTCATATTTGCAAGATCAAGATCAACGTTCTACCGTGCAATATCAAGATCATAACTGCAAGACCGAAACCGATTTTGTGCATCGCTAGTTTTAAATACCGGGAGTGAATTTTTTCTTCGCTTTGGTCACGAATTGCTGATGCGGTGCAAGCTTTCGGCGGAAAACAGCACGTCGAAGCCCACAAAGGTTTCGGGAGGGAGGGAGGGAGCTTTTTGACGTCCCCTCGTTCACGGTGCCCCCCGGAAACCCAGGAAGTGGGCTTCCCACTCTCAGCTCTCCCCGGGGACAGAGGCGGTGCTTTTTCTCGGGTGCACGTTCGCCGGTTAATTCGGGCCGCTTCAAAGCTCCCGCAAGCGCCACTCGGCCTCCGGAAACCCCGCGCGTGCTTTCCTCGAAAGCACTGCCGCGATTATACACCCTGTCCGGGATGTCCAAACAAATGGCAGATCGGCCTGTAGGAGGTCTGCAAACACGAGACCCGACAGTGTTCCGCTGGCGGCGAATTGAAAGAGCTTTTCTACCGAGATTGGTGACCCGGGAAACCTACTGCGATCCTACGATTTTTCCTACGGAGAGGATCGAGGAAACTTCTCGTCAGGAATCGACGATCTGGAAAATTGTCCATCCCATCACGATGCAACGGATCGTTCTAGGGGGAAGTCTATGCGAAAGCTCTCGGTTGAGAACCAGTATCCTCAGAGAAAATTTCTTCGTAGGAAAGGTCTGCGTGGAGGAACTTTGTTTTGGAGGGAATGCGGTTGGTTTTCGAGTCTCGAGGAGGTCTTTCGCTGGAAAATCCGGCGCCGGCTATTTGGTGGCATGTGCCATCGCGGTGGCCGGTTGCGCCAGGTTAGGCCGGCGCGTCCTATAATTGGCCGACCACCAGGAAGTGCTTCTCCGCGCTCGGCCGATCCTCGTTCGGCCAATTGGTTCGCCGTATTTCGGTCGCGCCTCGTTGAGCCGGAGGTCCGCCCGAGGCGGGGTTGCTGGCTAGGCGTCGGCCCGATGTCGAATTAACGCCAATTACGCGCACGCGACGCGTCCGTCGATAAAGCGAACCGCCGCTCGTTCGAGCGACGTCCGCATCTCGGGCGGCCATGGAGCCCCTGATAAACAGGAAGATTGTATTTAATTAAAAGTATCAAACTTATTAGTAAATATAGCTCAACAAGAACGCGTATCTAGGAGGATGACGTCTGTTTGACTAAAAATGGCACTTGACTAGATACGAGCGTACGTAAGAGGTTAGGCCCATGTATTTAAAAAAGAAAAAGAAGGCATCTCTGCGCATGTCAAACTGAAAACGTAAGAGAAAGGAATAAATGATGGCCATTTTTTGTAGCTAGCGATCTTGCGTCTTGTAAACGAATAAAAAGCAATTTGAATTACACGGTAACTGTTACTGTCATTTGCAAGTTTTATGTTTTTAGATAGACCGTGCTACACAATTTCACGATCTTTACACCTTTCGGCACGAGTTCTTTCGCACTTTCAAAAAGACGTTATATGTATATTTTGTTTGTTATTATTCCCGTAGACGAGATTGCGGGTGCGTGCATCGCAATGTAAAATGGCCGCTGTCGTCCCGTCCTTGCGCGTTTCGAGCTTCAGCTCGCTTTTCTAAAATCTCATTTTTTGCTAATTCGTTCTTTTTTTAAATCCCTGGTTAGTCCTTGTTCGTGCCGCCGGTCGCCATTTTACGATTTAGAGACCCCCGCGCAGGGCCGTGCGCAGAGTGCATCAGTATGCCGAGCGACGCGAAGATTCGTGCCGCTCATCTCTATTATCGCGATAGGTGGAGCGTTGCGTCACCTGCTGTGATCACGGGATTTCGCCATTCCGAAATGTCACATTACGCGAGGCTCCTCTCGAAGTCTTAGCCGAAAGCGGCCCGAAGGACGGATAATGATCGTGGGATTCTCGGAGTTCTTCCGGCTTTTCGCGCGATTCACGGAAAGTAGAGGAAAGGGAAAAAGTTGAAGAAAGTAGGAACGAGAGAAAGGGGAGAAAAGTGAGAAACTCGAACGCGATGCATCTGACTCGATGCATCCGACTCGACACGGTGAAAAAAGATCTCTTAAACTTACAGAAAAATCTGTAAAATGTATCGATTTTATCTGTTGGAATAGGGACAGCAGATTATTTCTGTTAGCGTTACAGTCAAGTTTCTGTTACTTGATTCCGCAAAGATTACAGATAACTATCTGTGATAATTACAGGAAAATATTTGTAAGTGTTACGGATAAACATTCGAAAGTATTGCGGATAAGTAACTGTAAAGAATACAACTTGATACATGTAAAGATAACAGAACAATATCTGTGAAAATAACAGAACATTTTTGTAAAGGTTGCATATAAAATTCTATAATAGTTACAGATATACACGTATAAGGTGACCCGATATTAAATTGTTAATATTAGAACCTCCCCACATTCCTAAATAGTTCTTTTAATGGTATATTCTCCCATATGTCAAAAGAGAAATCTAAAACTCCTTTACAATCCAGAATGAATCATATTCAATCTTTTCGGTGGTTATAAAGGAGTTTTTGATTCCCCTGAGAAAGTAAAGATTTCTGTGACAAAAGTAAAGTTAGCTGAATTAATTGTTTAATGGGACAGCTTTTAACTGTATTGAGAACAGATGTTTCCAACAGATAGGTATCTGTAACTTTTAAGCTCATATTTTTCTTCGTGGAGGAGAAACCGTTTTTCTCTATTATTTTGAGAGTTTTCTCAGTTCTTCGAGCTACGACGTACACGCGCGGAAAGGAGAACGCGAAGCGGCCGGTGGCCGATCGATCGATGGGCTCCATCGATCGACGCCGATTACGTGGCAGGCATTGCGCAAAACCACTTCCGAAAGCTCATTGGCTATTCCGTCCTCTGGCTGTTCACGATTGGCGCTGTTCCACGGGAATGCGAGCGAGTCGCTTTCCTTCCGGCCGGCCGCTCGCGCCAACGCTCGCACGCCATTGGTCGATATCCACCCTGCGGGCGCGTCTGCATAATCGCGACCGCGGAAACGCATCGCCCCCCGCAGTAATCGCGAGAGGTCACGGTGGTCATTTTAATAGCTCGATCGCGCGTTGCCGTTGTTTCATGGTACTTGTACCATTATCATAGAACTTACAGAAATGGGGGAGACAATATATGGGAAAGGGTGTCAGGAGGAGGTTAAAGAGAGATGGTCTGTCGCTAAAGATTTCCAAAAGTTCTTCCTGCGCATGTTCACGTCATCGCTTAAATTTCATTTACTACAAGACTCCTAATGCCCACGCAAAGTGCTCGAGAACAAGATGTGCTACCTGGCAGTCCTTATAACCGTGTTTACTGACTATGAAAATATAAAATATGAAGTAAATTTCAAAGCGGAAAAATTAAAAAAGATGTATAAGTAGTACAATTTTTCGTATCCCCATCTTAGCTTTTACGTGACTTTACCGAACGTTCGAACAGTTTTCAATTTAGATAATTCAAACAATTTATTCGTCGGGTTACTTGCAAGTAAACCGCTGTTATACCGCGTCATAGCGTTTTGGAGGAGGTGAGTCAAAAATAAAACTTTGTGCTTGCCCACCTTGTCTCCTTCGCATCGTATATATACGCATATTATAGTCTTCTCCATATCTATACGCTCTGTGACTATTATACAGGAAAATAAAGAATTGTAATCTGCGAATACCCGACGAATCATTTCGCGTTCCGGTAACTCGAGGAGATAAGAGCGTCTATATCTCGCTTTCCTAGACTCGTCAATGGCGAGTTAGCGGAGAATGATGCGTTAACACTTGCACGTCGCGTGTTAAATAAGCGTATAGAGGCGTATCTTGTTATTTGGTGTACTGCCGCTCCACTGTGTGCAGCGAAGCGATCCGATTGGTTCGCAGCGCTGCTGCAAAAATTGTGGACGGCTGCTGCTGAAACTACGCCGACCAGCTGATCGCGCTCGGCCAATCAGGGCGCTTAGCTGCATGCGGCAGGGAAGTTGCGCAGGAAACGAAAAG